ATGTAATTTAGGTTAGTATATGATATATATATTACATACATACGTTTTTTTATTATATATGCTGCAGAATTTAGTTAGCTATTACTTTATATTAATAATTATTTTTCTATAGGGAAGAGTGGTGCAGAATTTTTTATTATTATTCATGTACTATACTAGTGAATATTAGGCTGAAGCTATGGAACAACAAACTGCGTGATTATAGCAATATATATAATGTATTGTTTCGTACTTGTAGGCAATTATATATATATATATACATTTATATAAATAAGTGTTTTATATAAAGCTATTTTTATGAATGGATTTTAGAATTCTAATTTAATTTATTTTATTTTAATGATTTATTTTTAAGTATCTTGGTTTTTGTATTAATTCTATTCATGTTTTATATTTTTTTTTGTACTAGTTTTAATTTAATGGCCAATAAAAAAAATATCCAAGATTTATTAAAGGATCCAACAAGAAAGACCAAATCATCTGATCCGGAATGGAAGTATGGATTTTGGCCGGATTTAAATAACAAAGATTTAATTGAATGCGCTCTTTGTCATAGACAAATGCATTCTGGGGTCAAGAGGTTAAAACAACATTTAGTTGGGAGTTACGACGATGTGGTTAAATGCCCTAACACCACAGAAGAAATTCATAAGGAAATACATCAATTTATGAGTAAAAAAATGATGAATAAAGCATCGCGGGGTACTACCGAATTTGATTATTTTGAGGATACCGAAGACAATGAGGAGTTAGAAGAAAATCAATCTACGGATGCTACAAATTCATCTTCCAAGCATTCAGTGCATCCAAGTTCAGGAACAAATATCAAAAGAAAGATGGCTCAATCAACTTTAAAGTTGTCTGAACTTCAGAGAGTTGGAAAACAAAGTAAGTCAATTGCTACAATGATTCGAAAGACTCTAGAAGAGATTGTTGAAGAAAGACATATGAGCGGTTATGTTCAAAAAACCATCGAAGCTTCTACAAAAGGAAAAAAGGAAACAAAAGAAGCGCAAAGGCGTATTGCCGACTTTTTCTATGAAAATGACATTCCATTCAGTGCTTCAAAATCAAAAAGTTACGAGATTATGGTTGAGGCCATCGGACAATATGGTCCCGGTTTGAGACCTACTAGTTATCATCAGTTGCGGGAACCATTTCTTGAGGATGCCGTAAATGTAACAAATAAGTTGAAAGAAAGACACATGGAAACTTAGAAGCAATATGGGTGTTCCCTTATGTCAGATGGATGGACAGACAAAAGAGGGCGACACTTGATAAACTTTCTTGTCAATAGTCCAGAGGGAACTTTTTTCTTGGAGTCTATTGATGCATCAGCTGAGTCGCATGATGCAAGAGGCTGACTTGCTTGAAAAAAAAGTTGAAGAAATTGGCAAGGAGCATGTGTGCAAATTGTGACGGATAATGGAGCAAATTATAAAGCGGCGGGAAGATTATTATAACAGCGCATTCCTGGTCTGGTCTTTTTTGGACACCCTGTACAGCTCATTGTATCGATCTCATGCTAGAAGACATTGGAAAAATGAATGAATTTAAACCCTACATTTAAAAAGCTAGGGATGTCACCACTTTTATTTATCGACAAGGGGAGAATTCTCAGTGCAATAAGGGAAAAGACCGGTGGCAGAGATCTAGTGAGGCCGGCCACTACCCGATTTGCTATCGCATTTCTCACTTTGCAGAGTTTAAAAAAACATAGAAATGAATTGAGGCGATTATTTTTAAGTGATGATTGGAGCGATAATAAGCTGTCGAAAACGTCAAAAGGAAAAAAAATGATGGAAACCATTCTTTCATAAAAATTTTGGGATCAGGTGGAAGATTGTTTATGGGCAACACTTCCTCTTTTGATTGTTTTGAGGATAGTGGATGGTGATGAAAAGTCAGCCATGCCTGAGCTTTATTCGGGTATGAATCACGTGAAGAAGAAAATAACTGAATCTTTTACGAGCAATAACAAAACAAGGTTGTTGGCCAAGTTGATGGAAATAATTGAGGATCGATGGAGCGATCAAATGAAGGTGAAGTTATACGGGGCTGCACTATTTTTAAATCCTTCAAAATATTTTGAATTAAAGAGGAGTGATCCCGTATTTGCTCGTAAGCAACGTCAGCTGTTTAATGATGTTCTAGAAAAGATGGTTAAAGATAAAGAGTTTATGGATAAGATTAGCGGTCAAGTAGATGATTACGATAAAATGCAAGGAAGCTTTGGCCGTTAATTGGCAATAAAACATCAAATGCAAAAGAGTCCTCGTAAGTTTCTTTAACATATATATATTTATTTTCTATGAAACTTAATTTAAATATTGACTATATTCCTTTATATATATATATTTTAGTTGATTGGTGGGATGCACATAGTGGTGACAACGAAGAACTTCGATCACTTTTTGTACGGGCTATTAGTCTATGTTGTTCTTCTGCCTATTGTGAGCGCAATTGGAGCAGATTTGAATTTGTAAGTAAATTTATTCGAAATTTACTTATATTAATATTTTTGTAATAATTTTCAAGCACCAAAGGCTAAATGATTTGGTGTATGTTCAATATAATCGGAAGATTGCACATCGCTTTCAAAAGTGGCGGGAAGAAAGAAGTAATTTTAATCCCTTAATTCTTGAAGAATTTCAATGGGACAATGAATGAGTTGATGATTCTAGAGATTTGGTTCATAAAGATGGAGATCTTGAGTGGCATCATGTTAATGAAGCCATATGTGCTTCAAGTAATCTCAATAGTTCCAACCTTCGTAGTAGAGGTGTTGGTGAATCTTCAGGTCCGCCCATCTTATATGATCGTCGCCATGGCCTTTCTAATGGACGTTTGGCAAATGAGGATGAAGAAAATGATGAAGATGATGATATGAACACTGAAGAATAATGTGAATTTGAGAAATTGAAGGTTTGTTTTTTGGTGTTTTGGAACTTTCATATATTGACATATTGATATTTTAGTATTTTGATGGTTATGTTTGGTATTTTGATGGTTTTGTTTGGTATTTTGATATTTTAGTTGAAATTTAGTGATTTGATGTTATAATTCTATATTGTATAATTAAATATTAGAAACTTATAATAAGCAGGTCGCTGTATCGCCATATTGTCGCCATTTTGGGCGCCGTGTCGCCTAGGCTATATGGCAGTCTAATGGCGCCGTGCCTAAATACTCGCCGTAATAACCTTGACTAAAACATGAAAAAATAGAAAAATATACAAATTCATCTTATTGTGTGTGTGTTTGATGTGTTTTTTTCTAATTTTAATCCTAAGATATAATAACCACCTCTTCCCGCTAAAAGGAGTAGTTCTAATTATTCCTCCACCATTTTCAACCGCCTGGTAAAACCTCCTTCATCAGCTCCCAACCACCTGTAACTTTATTCTGTCAACCACCTAGTAACCTCATTCAATCAGCTCTCAACCGCTTCCATTGCCTCTGGACCGGGTTCCACTTGCTCCGAACTTCTTCCATTGCCTCTAGACCAGATCTGTCGCAAACTCCGACTTGTTTTCATCGTACTCCTAGCCGGTCCACGGGGATGTGTCCCCAACAGCCTCGAGTTACATGAAATCTTCGGTTTTCCTCTTGTTGGTTTGTTCCATGGAGCTTTTTGAATAAAGTATGAAAGTGCATAGGCCCTCCACTAATGTTTAGTATGAAATTATTAATCCAGGGCCAATGGAGGTAGTTATCGCATGATCTGTGGAAGCTGTTGCTTTCTATCTTGTGGAGGCAATGTGGAAGCACCACAGTCCAATGAAGATAGTTGTTTTCAACCCAATGAAGATAACAATTTTTGACCTTATGGAAACATTGTTCCGGGATGGAGGCGCCATTGTCCAAGGAGTTGTTGCCCTAAAGTCCATGGAGGCTGCTGCTTTCGGTCCTGTGGAAGAACCACAATCCAATGGAAGCTGTTGTCTTCGGCTTTGTGGAGGCAGCAGTCTTTGGCTCCGATGTTTGAAGCTCCATTGCTGTTGAGCGGCTCCGTGGCCAATGAGCTCTGGCTCCACTTTTGTCTTTTAACATCCTTCACGTTCAGGTGGTTTTGGACCCATGTCCAACAATACCCTCCTCAAAAGGGCTGGGCGATTGCTTCCATTGAGCCCATGTCCTTTTGCTTTGAGCCGTTCGCTTGAATCACCTGTGGTCACTTCTGTCGACAAGGGATCCTCATCGGTCTTCACTTCTTGGACTTTATTTCCATCCCAAAACATCAACGTTTGATGGAGTGTCGAAGGCACACACTCGCATGCATGAATCAAATTCCGTCCAAAGAGAGCCGAATAGAATGGCCTAGTATCAATCACCATGAAATTTGATGATATTTCCTTTGTCCCCACCTGCATATTCAAAGTGATCATACCTGCCGGTTTGTAAGAATTTTCCACAAAAACAGTAAGCCGTACAAATGTAGAAATCAAATCATCACTAGTCTTTCTGAACTTCCGTAGGGTCTCAATTGGAAACAGATTCACAGAAGCTCCACTGTCCACCAGAACTTGTTTAAGCGGATAGCCATTCATCGAGACCCAAATGTGCAAAGGCTTGACATGTTGGTTTTGACCAGGCCCGAGCCTCTTAAATTCTATCATCATTGCCACATCATTCCATTTGAAGATAGGCTCTTCGTCAACGACAACTTCCTCTAACTCTTGAAATTCTTCCGGAGGTTTGAATTCTTCCAGAAGCTCCTCCACTTGCTTCTTCTTTGAAAAAGACTCCACGGCCTGGTTCCTTAGTGGCTTCACAACCTGCTTTCTTTCTGGACGTGGCTCCTCAACTTGCTTCCTTAACGGTTCCACAACCTGCTTTCTTTCTTGAAGCGGCTCCACAGCCTGCTTCATTTCTAAAAGTGGCTCCATAGCCTGCTTTCTCTTTGAAAGCGGCTCCACAACTTGCTTCTTTGGCGGCTATATGGCCTGCTTTCTTTCTGGAAGCGGCTCCACAACCTGCTTTCTTGGCGGCTTCACAGCCTACTTTCTTTCTGAAAGCGGCTCTACAGCCTGTTTCTTTTCTGAAGGCGGCTCCACAGCCTGCTTCTTTTCTGAAGACGGCTCCACAGCCTGCTTCCTCGGAGGCTTCATGGCCTGCTTTCTTTCTGAAAGCTGCTCCACAACCTGCTTCCTTAGCGGCTTTGCAGCCTGCTTTCTTAGCGGCTCCACAACCTGCTTCATTTCTTGAAGCGGCTTCACAACCTTCTTTCTCTCTGAAAGCGGCTCCGCAACCTGCTTCATTGGCGGCTCCATGGCTTGCTTACTTTCTGGAAGCGGCTCCACAACCTGCTTCTTTAGCAGCTCTGCAGCCTGCTTTCTTTCTGGAAGCGGCTCCATAGCCTGCTTCTTTTTTGGAGACAACTCTTCCATCTGTTTTTCTTTCGGAGATGGCACATGTGACCTTTCCTCCTCCATACGAGCCTCCAACTTTCTTCTTTGAGCTCGCCTCTTTTGAGTCCTGGTAAGTCTCTTTATTGCCCCCCTAGTGGAAAGCTTCGGCTCATTCACAATCTATTTTTCATTCTCTTTCGCGATAGGAGGCTTCCGTGTCGCCTTGGCAATGATCATGATCTGGTCAGCCGTGGTAACAGTCCAAATCCGTTTTCTATTTTTGACTTTCACTTCTGCTATAATGGCCGATTAGGTCCTTTGTATACTTTCCTCTTCTCCAATCCCGAGGCTTTCGGACTTGGGATGGTGACACCGACATTAAGCTCCATCTTGACCATCCTTTGTATTACCTTCTCCATGTTCGAACTTGAGAATTTATCAAATGTCACTCTTGTGAAGACGGCTTTTTTAGCGAGTGCCTTCGGTCCTAGACAGTCTTGAACCAAAGGTTTTAATGGCTGGGTGCTAAGCCTGTCTTTCATAAGCCCTTTAGCCGACATAGTATTAGAAAAATGAATAAACCCTTTGGTCGGCTTCAATGCTGGACACAAACAAGTCTTTCCATTTGCTAATTTTGTGGCCAAAGCTTCTGCCTCTGCAAAGTCCTTTTCGTTTGAAGTCGTTAGGGCTTCTACGCCTGCAGGCTCTCCTTTTCGTATGGAACCTCCATAGCCTCTGGAGTTTGTGTCCCTGCAGAATCCTTTTCATATGGAGCCTCTGCCCTTATATCCTCCTTTTTGGTAGAAGCTTCCATGGTCCTTGGAGTCTCTGCCTTCGCAAATTTTGGAGCTTCCATGGCTTCTAGAACCTTTGCCTCCGCAGACTTCTTTTCGACTGGAGCCTCCACAGCCTCTGGATTCTCTACCTCCGCAAACTTTGGAGCTTTCATGGCTTCTGGAACCTCTGCCTCTGCAGACTCCTTTTCGACTGGAGCCTCCACAGCATCTGGAGTCTCTGCCTCCACAAGCTCCGGAGCTTCCATGGAATCTGGAACCTCTGCCTCTGCAGGCTCCTTTTCAACTAGAGCCTCCACAGCCTCTGAAATCTCTGCCTCCACAAGTTTTGGAGTTTCCATGGCTTTTGGAACCTCTGCCTCCGCAGACTCCTTTTTTCAACTGGAGCCTCCACAACATCTGGAGTCTTTACCCCTGCAGCTTTTTTTTCGATTGGAGGTGAATTTTCCGCGCTCAAAGTGGCACTAGGCTTCTTTTCAAACCTTTTTTTTGAAAATGCCCTCCTTATGCAAACTGCGATGACATCAACGTCCATTAGAGGCTTGGCCTCCTGTTGATTTGGTGTCAGCGGCTGCACTCCGGCTGTCTGCTGATGGAAGGTTGGCGGCTGCATCTCTGCGGCCTGCCCTCCTTGCCCCTGTGTTTCGATGATCTTCTTCTATTGGAGATTAGCCACGTTCGGACCGTGACATCCTCGTGGTTGTGTTGGCGTATTCCACATAGGTTGTTCGCTTAATCGCGCTGGCGGGATCATGACAAATGTTGAAAATTTGCTTGCCTCTCGTGGAGGCTCAGCACTGCTCTTCAAAACTCCAACGGCCATGGGGTTCCAGCCCTCCGCAGCCTGTTGGCTCCAGCGCTCCGCAGGCTGTTGCCAGCCTTTCACAACCTGGTTTTCAGCCCTCTGCAGGCAGTTGGTTCCAGCCTGATCTTGTCTGCCCCAGCCCTAAGGCCTGAAGCATTGGATGTTCTGCAACAATTCTGTAGCTTTCTTTAGGTGGTACAAATGAATCCCATGTCAACCTCGACATCACTCTTCGAAAAATTCGACTTTGGTCTCACTGGGTGTGCCAATTGTTGGAATCTAAAATTCGGAGGTTCCAAGAACGTTCGTCGATTCGTCGGTGTGGGTTCCGAAAGTATTCCAATGAGCCTGTCAGTCGTCGGATTGGAGGCGGCTCTTGCGATGGAGCCTGCATGTCTTCGATCTTAAACGAGGCTTCGAGTCTAAACAACCGATTTCGATAAATTGAAACTAACATCTACTAAAATTCAAATAAATTTACTGGAAAACGGATAAAAATATGCTAGAAACATAAAAGCATGTAATTCGAATTAAAATACATAAACATGAACTAAACACATGAAAAATAAATAGAGATATATACGAGCTCATCTTCTTGTGCGTGTGTGATGTGTTTTTTCCTAGTTTTAATCCTAAGATAGAATAACCACCTCTTCCTACTAAAAGGAGCTGTTCCAATTATTCCTCCACTACTCTCAACCGCCTGGTAACCTCCTTCCATCAGTTCCCAACTACCTGGTAACCTCCTTCCGTCAACCACCTAGTAATCTCCTTCTATCAACCACCTGGTAACCTCCTTACATCAACCACCTCGTAACCTTCTTCCATCAGCTCACAACCATTTTCATTGCCTCTGGACTGGGTTCTACTTGCTCCGCCGAACTTCTTTCATTGCCTCTAGACCAGATATGTCACTTACTTCGACTTGTTTCCTTCGTACTCCTAGCGAGTCCACGGGGATGTGTCCCCAACAGCCTTGAGTTACATGGAATCTTCGGTTTTCCTTTTGTTGGCTTGTTCCATAGAGCTTTTTCAATAAAGTATGAAAGTGCATAGGCTCTCAACTAATGTTCAGTACAAAATTATTAATTCAGGGCCAATGGAGGTAGTTATCCCATGATTAGTGGAAGTTGCTGTGGAGGCCTGCGCTTGCTTTGACGGAGTACCGCAGTCCAATGGAGTTAGTTGTTTTCAACCCAATGTAGATAACAATTTCTTACCTTATAGAAACATTGTTCCGACATGGAGGCGCCATAGTAAAAAAGTTGCTACCCTAAAGTCTATGGAAGTTGTTGCTTTCGGCTCCATAGAGGCAGCGGCCTTTGGCTCCGAGGCTTGACGAGCGGCTCCGTAGCCAATGAGCTCTACTTCACTTTTGTCTTTGAACCTGCTTTTGTATTTGAACCTCCTTCACCTTCACTTGTTTTGATATTTTTGGACCCATGTCCACCAGTGGTTTACAAAGAAATGTCCACCAGGTGGTTTACAAGTTCTTTGTACTGAGCCTGGTGTTATACAAATGACCAAATTTTTTTGACAGACTTTGGCAGGAGGATGATGGAATAAAAAGCTACTGGCTGGACCAGTTTTTGTTGGAGAAGGATAGTCGTGAATAAAGGGCTTCTTCTTCTCTCTTGTATTCAAAATCAGGGAATAAATAAGGAGCAACGACCACTTGTTTCTACAATTTTTATCATCGCTCACGTATTGAGTCGATTGCGCCTTGGCCAACGATCTCTGAAAGCTTCCCCTCTTTTTGTATGATCTTGGGAATTTTGTGCGGTTTTTTGCCTTTCTCTGTCTCTCTCTCTGTGTTTTGTGTTCTCTCGACGTGGTTGTGTTATTTTTTTGGTGTATTATGCTTTTCGATCTCTAGTCTTTGGACTATTTCGGATGTGATTTTTTAAATCAATTTTAGGGATGTGCATGATGAATTTTGCTGTTTGGCTGTTGGTTGTTCGTGTTTATAATTCGGGTGTGTTCGTTTGATGGATTTGCAAGAGATTTCACTATTTATCCAAAATTTTCCCCCCAAAAACATCAAATCAAACACCTATTTTTCATTTTTTATATTATACTAAAAATCAATTTTACATTCAAAACATCACATCATCACTTATTTATATCACATCATACAACTATTCAAATTCAAAATTTTTACTATTCAAATCTCAAATCAAAATCCAAACCCCCAAACAAACACACCCTTCAAATACTGCTATGATTTTGGTTAACTGAGAGGGAGGGAAATTTTTGGCGATTGTTAGGGGTTTTTGTTTTATGATCCCGACATTTGTGTTGCTTGGAGAAAGAGGCGAGGCTATGCCTTTGTATCTTTTTGTTGTTTTTTCCCCCCTCGGGGTATGTATGAGGCGCTGTTGCTATTATTACGGATCCTTCTTGTCTTTTTCATTTTTCATTATTGCTTTGGGAACAGTAAGAATCTCATTTCAACTTGATAGTCTTGATAGATTTGTGGTTGAGGATTCAATTTCGGGATAACAAGTTTCTTGTGGATTCACTTTGCAACCACGACACCACGGGTGTGCAAAAAAACAAAATCGATTCGTAGAATCGCTGAACCGAATCGAATTTTCGGTTAATCGAGCAAACTCGGTTCGAATACAGATACTGCATATTTGATATTTGTTCGATTCGATTCGGTTTCGATTTTTGATATTTTTTTCCGTTAACTATATATTCATATTATCATTTTTTAAAATTTATATTAATAATTATATTCGTTTTCGATTCGATTTCAATTCGAATATTTAAATATTTGCATATATTTTTATTTAATTAGAATTTTAATTATTTGTTGCATTTGGTTCGAATATCAAATAATTATATATTTACAAATATTCGAATTTTGGCACGCCTGCAGGACAGGACTGCCTTTTGTCGTAAATATTGTCGTTTCACATAAAGAAAACTGGCTCTTAGCTCTTTGATGTCTTTGTTTGAATGGAAGCACAGAGTCGCACATACACACTGCCTAATCCTTTTCGGGGCAATTGCCAAGTTGTATTTTATTCCTGGCATGATTGTATATCCATGAATTCTGAATTATATTTCCTGGATGCTTTCCTATTTTGTATTTCAACGTAGACAACTACTGTGAGCCCACTTTTCTCCGGTAATGGCCCCTAAGGCGAAAGACAAGTCGAAGACCGCCACAGCGGCGGTGGCAATCGAAGATCTATTCACATCGATCAATCGCTATATCCAGAGGTCCGAATTCGACCAAGCCGCTAAAATCTCTGATCAAGGTATGTGGAATTTAAGGACTAGTTGTTCGTTGAAGTTTGAAATGTGTTAGGTTAATGTATTTTGATTGCTTAATTTTGAAAATTTTTAGTTGTTTGCTGGTCTTCAGTTCTTAAGACTGTCCCCGGAGATGAAGACGCGATTAGATGCAAAGTTGTAGCTTGATTAAAAACGATAACATCGATGAAGCTTTATCGGCAATTTAGGAGTTCTCGAAGAAATCATCCATTGATTTCAGCTTCTTTCGTGTAAGTTTTAGATTTTAGTTCTAAAGGTTATCCTGTATTGGCATTTCAGCTTTCCCATCCTTTTTGCAATGTGGACTACAATAGGGGCCAAGAAAATGGTGTTGCTCCAGTAATTGAACTGTTTTATCACTTCTTGCTTTTTGCATGGTGAAAATATATTATTAGATCTTTGAATTTTAGCTTATATATAATGGATGGATAGGCTTAGGATTGAATGTGAATCTGAAAGATATTGCTAATAGACGTTTAAGGTTTAGGGTGTTGACAACTATACCTCACTTTCTGTATGGCACAATTCAAGAATGGTATAGAAATAAACATTTCTGAGGGCGTGTTGAGCCTCAATTAAATTTAAATGTTTAGAGAGAACATACTATCTTGCCTTTTGCTGTTATGTATTTAATTGTAGCTGTTGGGGAACTTTTGTAATCCTTAATAGTCGGTAT